GAGAAGTATATACTTTTCCTTCTGGATTAGTAGCAAGAATTGTGGCTGACAGTTATATCATGTAAAAGGACTTAGTGTAATGTAGACAATAGTCTGAAGAACAAAAGTGGATGGAAACATGACCCTTCCTCTGGATGGGAAATCCATGGCAAAGTTTCAAGGCTCCTGAAAAATTGGCTTTCTGATGAAGTTCTGCTTTGGAAAGACATAGCAGGCTGTAATAGTACACTCTGGTACCAGCAATGTATGGAAAAATCTTACTCCTGAGGAACAGAAAAGTCTTCATAAACTGTTTCCGTGCCATTGTAAGCGAGTACAGCAGGATGCTTTCTGGCAGAGCAGCTCTCCTGCGGTTGTTTTGAACATCTGTTTTCTGTGTCCTTGCAGATGATGAATCAAGCACGCAGGGAAAGTCAGAGAACATCCTGGAGAGCCTGGAGAGAAGCATGCATCCGGAGCTGATGAAGGTATCCTGTTTGCAGAGATCACTCTCCCAGCCCATAACTAGTTCTCTCCACTGTATTTATAAAGGGTTTTTTCCACATTCTCTGTCTGCAACTCTGGGGCAGCTGAGCAGGTACCAAGGGCTTGGGGGTCTCTGCCTTTCTCATGGATGAAGCTCCATGGTTTGAGGCTGCATGCTCCTCATGTCCAAGTATGAGATTCTTAAGGAAGAACCAGACTTGGAGCGAACGAAGGGTCGTCCTGGTCGGTCCTGCTCATTTCTGCTGAGCAGGGGTGACTGTCCTGGCCATGGAGCAGGGGGGCAGTTTAGGTGGCAGCTGCCTCCTGTATGATCCAGAGTGTGGTTGCTTCCCTTCTCTCTGCCTTCTCATTTGGCAGAACCACTGTCGTTTCACCGTGTTGGTGACTACTTCTGAGAAGTCTTGCATCATCACTTGTATCACAAAGGGAACCTGAAAAATATTTATTTTGTTTTGCTTCCATTCCTTCCAAATACCAAATATTTGCATCTGTGTGGCCAAGCAGTAATAGCAATGTTTTCTTTTGTCCTAGTATGGAAGAGAAACAGACCAGCTGAACAAACTGAGCAGAAATGATGGAAGACAAAACCTCTTTTCTTTCGACCCAGAAGTCCAGGTAAACATTCCCATGTTTGCAAATGCTAGGTTTTGCTCTCTGTAAGAGCTCCCTTGGTGTCACGCTTTTCCTGTTTCCTTACATGGCCACAACATTCACCTATAGAGGCAATGTATTTTTCCATGGATTGGAAGAAAAAGTGCAGCCCATGACCCTGTCAGTGAGAGCTGAACACGTTGTCAGTGTTCAAGTGATAACTCAGATGAAAGGAGAACTATCAGCTGGCTCACACATGGCCTGTCTCCAGCTTTGCTGGCTTCTGTGTGATGCATCTTGATGTTGCTGGATTTCAGACCCATCATCTGGGCCTCTGCAATGCTGTGTGGTCTCAGCATGTCTGGAGAAGGGAAGGGAGCAGTGGTGATAGAGGTCTACAGGGAATGCCTCAGTCTTCAGAGAGTTTTCAAATGTAGGGGACATACAAACAGAAAAATCATCCCATGCTGTTCTCATGCACTGGAGTTGAGGTTCATTGACTTGGCTTGTTTTCTTCTCAGTTTTGACATGTTTGCTGAGCTCTCCAAGAAGGTCCAGGTGTTTGATTTCAGTGAAATGAGCTGCAATTGTTAACACAGTGTTGGAGAATAGTTCCAAGTTATTTCATAATTTCTGGTTCTCCTTCTGGCATGCTTTGGCTTGTTCACACCTATGAAAAAGAATGTTCTGGTTTAACAAGGAAATGTAATTAGTCTTTAAAAGATTTAGTGTACTAAATGAGCTTTTCTTTTGGAACTTCTTTAAGGTCTTTAACAGGTAGAAGGTAAGCATCCAGGAGGCTCTTTTTTTCAAGAGAAGCTTTGAGAAGTTTCTTATATTCTAGTCAGATATAAAAATGTAAATATTATTCAGTGTGGAGCACCTAAGATACCTTTTCTTACCTAGTCAAATGGTTGGGCTGAATTCACTGCCCTTCCTCTATACACAGAGCTCTTCATTCTGATAGGGGTCAGTTGGATCTGCTATAATGCAGGGCATTCAGAATCACTGCCCTACTCACTGCTGGTGTGTACGTGCACACTTGTATGCCTGGTGGTAAGGAAACTGGGAGCAGGAACATATACCTGCAATGTGCTTTCCTTATCAAACAGAAATAGAGGAAACAATGGGAAGAGTCTCCCAAAAACAGATTAACAGTTGCAGATGATTTTGCTGAAAGTACTTGATTGTGAGATATCAGTACCCTAAGCTGGCTTCTGCAGGATTTGAGAGGGAAAAACAAGGACTGTGCCAGATTGTCATTGAGAGACATGTTGGTATTTAGGGGTGTTTGACAGCTCCATGTCCCCAGTGCCTAGTATGATGGGTATGGTGAATGCTGAGGGTCTTTATCTGACTGATAGTGTTTTGGTCAGATATGTGCAAGCTCCCCAAGAAGCACAGATGTTGAGACAAGGACCAGGCATAGGTGTTCTGGGTTAGGAAGGAGAAATCAAGACTGTATTTCCCAGCCAGCTCCACAGGCAGTCTTTCTTGTTTCTAACCACACCTATTATTACTGTGGTGCATCTGGAAATGCCTTCCACCTTGAGATGTTGTTCACAGTCCCAACAACATGTGCCTTCTCACTATTTCAGGCACAGGGACTATCTCTTAAACTAGTCAAGTCTTCAAAGTGGAAGATACTTTTCTGATTGTAATGATGGCTTATGTTCTGCTTTCTTCCCCAAGCTCTAAATGGTGTTTGGGTTACAGCAAAGCAGGAAGGAACTGAAATCATACTGAGGTTTAGTTTCCTGTGCTCTACAAACCAGACTGCTAAAAATTGGTGCATCCCCGTGAATTCATGTGTTGAATACATTTGTGTAGCATCACCAAATGGCACTCATTTGTTAATTTCTTGTACCTTTTGTACCACTTAAAAAGAATTGATTATGATAGTATTGACTGTAATGCAATCCCTTAACGTTATTCAGGGGTTTATCCTCTCTTTTAATGAGACCAGATTTTTTGTTTAATCCCTAGAGGCTGGACTTCTCAGGGATCGAGCCAGATGTGAAGCCATTTGAGGAAAAGTGCAGCAGGCGCTTCGTGGTGTACTGCCAGGACTTCTCCCTCAACCTTCTCGCTCAGCTCAGCGACAGGACGGAAGGAGGACCTACCAATGTAAGGGGATCTCTGGCATGTCCTGCTTTGTCTTCTTTCTCCTCACCAGCAAGAAGAACTCTCAACAGATTAATCCAGGTGGATAAAAACATCCTATTTTGCCATGAGACCCATGATGGGTGGCTACTGGCCAAAGATCATTGAAGGATTTGTTTGCCTTGGTGTTTTGATGTTCAAAAAATGTATTTGGGGATAGGATCTGTCCTCATATGCCTCAACCTGCTCAGAATTGGGACTTCTGGGAAACCAGCTGTTCAGAGGCATAGGGAATGGGGAGCGTGTATCTGCCACATTCTTGGGCCCTGTGAAAGTCCTGTTGGTAAATGATTAAGCTCCATCTCCAGACCACTCAGTGCTGTGTTTTATTTCATTTCCCCTAATGGCAAGGCATTTCCCTGTCCTGAAATCTTCTGACTCTCAGCCTAACTGTATCCACAGCCACTTTATTACATGCATTTGTTATTGTGCCAAAGTTGTGCCTTAGCCTAAAAACCTCTTCCCTCTATTTTCTGAGCTTCTGAGGTCTGTAGACTGCTATTACATCTCTTCTCAGACTTCATTCTGCCAGGCTTCTCCAGTTTTTCATCCCTAAACATAATCCTTATTATCATGTCCTGCATTTGCTCAAGGTGGAGTCAACCCTTTATGCAAGCGTGCCAGAGCAGCAGATGGCATCTCAGGGGAGGCAGAAGCACTGGCACTGTCCCATCTCTGCTGACGGTGCCTTGTCTGATGACTGTTAGAATTGCAAAGGCATTTTTTGTGGTAGTTTCGTCCTGACAGCCAACAGCCAGTACACCAGGCTCCTTCTCCTTGGGAGCTCCCAGCATTGCTGATAGCAGAGATCTTTGTTACTCATCCCTAATCAGGCCCAATCAGCACATTTTTACTGTTGATGCCTCTGAGATATGCTGTAATGTCTCAGATATGCTACAGGCTTATCTTCAGCCCTTCACTTTTATCTTTACATGGACACTAGGACATGCCTAGACATCCTAGATATGCCTGCTAGGATCTTTGAATTAAATGAATACATGGTATTGTTGCCTCTTGCCTTGTGCCTTCAGGGTCAATAGTTACAAACAAGTTGGTAGATTTTGCACATGCAGTGTAGCCTTGTATTTGAACTCTTCTGGATGAGAGACTCTTAAATCGATTTCTTTCTCGTTGCAAAGGATAAACAGCTCTGATGGATTTGGATCATCTTTTCTTCCTAACTTCATAGTTTATCACTTATATAAAAACCCTGTGGATTTCATTCTTTATATTTCATTGATGTTTTTAAAGTAGCTTTATTCAAATTGACTAGATCAAAATGTGAGAAGATGCAGGAAAAATGGGTTTATGTATTTATAAAGCAAATAAACGTAGATTATCTGTAAGAATTCTGTAAAATGCTGGTGTACAAAACTAAGAGAACAAACAGATGCAGGAGGCAAAACTAGCAGGGAAGGCAATTCATGTTGATACTCTTGAACCTGTACCATGCATTTTTTTGATACATATATTCAATCCAATTTCCAGGTTGAACCCTTTTTCCTAAGCTTGGCATTATTTGACCTGAAAAATAATTGCAAGATTTCAGCTGACTTCCATGTGGACTTGAACCCTCCGTCTGTCCGTGACATGCTGCTGGATAACTCTGCATCGGGCATGGGGGGCACCAAGGGGCATCCACCAGGAGAGAGCCTTGTGCACGGGGTCCCCGAGTCTTGCCTGCGCTACATAAAACGGGTGAAGAGCTGACTTTCTCCTCATTCTCTATCTCTGTGGAGGCTGTGACTGTTCAGTAGTGTTGCAGTGCGTTGTTACCCGCTGTGTGGAGTGGAAGGCAGCTTTTCTGCTGAGCTGTGAGGTTTTGGTCGATGTCTTGAGTCAATTGCCACTTGAGGTTCACTGGCAGTGATAGGCAAAGCACCAGGTAGTTTTTCAAAACTTGGTCGTGCTCAAGCCTTGTGAACCCCCATGGCCCATCCACAGCAGCAACCAGAGCAGGGTCTGTGTGGGTTGTGGGAAAGGCCAGTGAGATGATTAGGGCCAAACCCCATGGTGCATGTAGAGTGTTCTGCTTTCTGACAGTCTACTCTCTATATATTGCAGGGTGTTTTCTCTGTGACTGACCCACACGTGGAGATCTTCCTGGTGGTCCGTGTGGAGAAGGTGCTGCAGGGCAGCATTACACACTGTGTGGAGCCATACATGAAAAACTCGGACCCTGGGAAGGTACTGGATGGGGCCATGAGAGTATGTGCTTAGTGATGCTCTCTGGTGCTGTAGGGAGTAGTGTGATCTGAAGCATGGGTTGTCTCTGCTGCTCTTTAGCTTCTTTCTGGCAAATATCAGTCTTCCTCCGCTCTGCTACTTCTGCTGTTCCCAGGTTGATTTAAGTGGGGCTGTCCTGGGAGACTCAGTTCCTTCCCCTGGAAAGAGACAGAGGATTTTAGAAAGAGGCAAGCAGTTGGGGCAGGGGGACCTTGCCCCCATGGCAGAGCCTGGATGGGCAGCAAAAAAGAGCAACAGTTCATCCCCAGAAAAACTGGCTGCACTGCTCCATGGTGCTGCATCCAGTGTCTTGGACTGGTCCTGTCAAGGAGGAGCAGCAGTGTTTTAGTAGCAGCAGAACATGGGCTTCACCCTTTATTCTGCTCACCCTGCCTCTGTCTGGCTCTGTACAGGATGCCACGATCATGTGGGGGAACTTATGCAAAGGGTGGCCCTGGTGCTGCCAACATCACTCTGCATGCCAGGTGATGCTGATGCTGCCTTGCTGCAGCCAGTCAAAAATAGTTCCTGGAAAATCAATATATGGGACACCTCGTACGTGATGGCATTCCTTCAGCACACTTCTTAAGTCTGTATAGGGTGAGCCAATTACAGTCAGTTTTGGAGAAATAAACTAACACTCTTTGGAAATTAAGATACAAATACATTGCTAGTTTAATGCAGATTGAAGAGGAGTTTTAATATGACTGTGCCCACAACATGTTTGCTATTGCTTTGCAAAAGTGGTGAATGTGCATAGTGTGAAGTGACAGACAGGGATGTCTGTCAGCTGCTACAGCAACTGTTGTGCCGTGTGCCTGGGGAGACGTGCTGTGGAGTACAGAGAGCTGCTTCTCCCCGGAGGGTGCAGCACTCTTCACTCCTTTTCCAGGGCAGCGTGGAAGCCGTGGCACACACTAACCTCCCTTGTGTTTTGCAGACTGCTCAGAAGGTCCATAAGGTGGCCAAGCAGGTGTGCAGCCGTCTGGGGCAGTACAGGATGCCCTTCGGCTGGGCTGCCAGGTTAGTTACCTCGGACTGCGCCTTGCCCGCGGCAGGAGCTGCTGCTGCGCCTTATCCGCGACGCCATCCGGGCAAGTGGGCAAAGGGCCAAGAGACTGAAGTCAGTGAAGTTGCAGCCGAGGGCATAATGGCTCCAATTCCCAGGAAAGACTGGGGATTGGCCCGAAAAGCTCTGTGTGTAGAATGAGAAA